CGTAAATAATAAAAATAAAAAAAGTTAAAAAAAAATAATACAAAATAAAGAAATTTAATAATTGAAAAAATATAATACTCGTAAATCAATATTTATATTAAATTTTAAACCCCCGATACCTATTTCCAACTATGGCCAAATACTTTAGTACATTTTCTGGTGTGATATTGTTTACATAATGTTTGTGTTCATTTTTCAAATTTTCAATTTTCCTTGATTCTTCATTCGATTTTGGTTTTATTATACCTTTGGAAATGGTTAATAATTTGGTAACTGTTTCTGCCTGAGGTTCCATAAGGGTAGCTATAACGACAAATATTGGTGGATGAGCACTATTAAACTGTGCATTATATGTACTATGGAAACTTTCAGCCCCGTTTGTAGTCCTAAAAATAAATAATATAATATTATAGTTAACACATTTTTTTTTTAAAACTATTATTAGAACCGAACACAACTGATAGTTAATTGATATAGTCACATCATGCACGATTATAGTATAGGTATATTCGTACATGTATGGACATTTACAATAAAGATAATATTTTTGATAATATAACCAATTCATTCTTTAGTGATGGGAAGTTTGTTTAATATCGGCAAAAATAAGTAATAAATAATCTACTATAATTTACTATGGTATCCTACGGATTTACCATGGACCTATATATTTGGCAATGTTGCTTAAAAGTTAAAATAATATAGCGCTCAATCGTACGCTTAAAAAGGTACCGTTGATAAGGACCGCGCGCAATCGTATCGCGCCCATTTGAATGAATTCAAATTTGGTACCATCCATTAAACTGCAGTAACCCATTTATAACCTACTGTACAGCAGAGCAATATCCACTTACCCAATTTTTTTTTTTATTTTAATTCATTTTAGATTCTGAGTGAAACGATGAATGTATTGATTTTACAATGATGTGTGTTTTAGATTCTGAGCGGAGCGATGAATGTATTGGTTTTACAATGATGTATGTTTTTATATTTTTATTTATATTTTTATTTATATTTTTATTTATATTTTTATTTATATTTTTGTGTCTGTCATCACGTTTTGGGACAGTAAAAATGCTTCGATTTTCTTCAATAGTACCTTTTCTGATAGGAAAGTGAATCTAGTTGGTACTTTGGGGGGTCAAAAGTAAACATTTTCCAGTAGTTTTCACAAGCGCCGGGAAAAACAACATAAAAATTAAGGAAAAACGGAAATTTTTACGCAAAATCGATTTTCCAAAAAATCGAATTTGGTTTTTGGTGTAACTTTAAAACAAATGATCTTAGATACATGAAATTTTCACTGGTTGTTTATATTTGCATTTTCTATACACGATAAAATTTTCAAAATATTTTGATTTATTTTGAACTGTTTAGGGACATTTTCATTTTCCATTTTTTTTTAGTTTTTTTTCTAAAAATATCAATAAAATTTTATTTGTTGGTTGCGAAAGCTTGAAAATTTAATAGAAGGCTCCTAATATATTGTTTCAAAGGCAGATGAAAAATATTAAAAATCCTTAGTCACAATTTTTTTTTATAAGCATTTAAAGTTCAAAAATTGACAAAATATGGAAAAATCACGAAAATTAGCAAATTATTTTGAGTTAAGAATTCGTAAAAATTTTTCTTTTTAAATCTAAGATTTGAAAATGAAACACAAGATTCCTTATAAGATTATCTACCTTTATCAATAAAAAAATCTCTACCGGACAGTCAAATTAAATTTTTATGAGCGTTTGAAATTCAAATTTTTACAACATTGGATTTTCACTCGATTACTCATGTAGCGATTTCCTTATTTTGTTGCAATTCAAAAACGAACAACTGTAGATACATGAAAATTTCACTGAATGTTTAAATTAGCATTTTCTATACACCATACAATTTTGAAAATATTTTGACTCTTTTTAAGCTGTTTATGGACATTTTCAGTTTTCAATTTTTTTAGTTTTTTTTTTTATAATTGTCAATACAATTTTATTTGGTGGGCCAAAAAGTCTGAAAATTGAATACAAGCTTTCTTATATATTGTTACAATATCAGTTGAAAAATTTTAAAAATACATAAGCACGATTTTTTTTTATAAGCATTTAAAGTTGGAATTTTGACAAAATTTATCAAAATCTCGAAAATAATCAATCGTTGGAATTAAAAAATTATAAAATGTTCAGTTTTTATAACTAAGAGTTGAAAATTTAAAACAAAGATTCTCTTAAATAATTCATACTGTAACCAAAAAATCTAAAAAATATATAAACACACTTATTTTTTACAGACATTTTAATTTCAAATTTGGACGAAATTACATATTAAAAAACCTAGAATAACTATTTTAGTTATTTTGTTGTGATTGAATAATATTATTCGTGGGTACTTGAAACTTCTAAAGTGTACTATTATATATCTATGATAGTATCACGGTTTTTGTTGTTGTATAACGCGTTATAAGTATCTAATGGATATTGTGATATGATTAATTTGGAATTTATTATAGGGCAATTTTTTCTTTTAATACCATAGATATGTATATATTATGTCTTATACCTAGACTGACATACCGTCTCCGCTCAGAATCGTTTTTCTTATACAATGATATTATATCATTGAATTCAAATTTAATACCATCCATTATACAGTGACCCACTTGTAACCTACTGTACAGCAGAGCGACACCCACTTGCCCACCTTTTTTTTTTATTTTTTTATTTTTTTATTTTTTTATTTTTTTATTTTTGTGTCTGTGTACACGATAAGTAGTCGAAATAATGCTTCGATTTTCGACTTCAGTATCTTGTTCGATTGGAAAGTGAATATCGTTGGTGCATTGGGGAGGTCAAAATTTAAAATTCCCAATAGTTTTCACAAGCGCCGGGAAAAACAACATAAAAATTAAGGAAAAACGGGAATTTTTACGCAAAATCAGTTTTTGACAAAATCGAATTTGGTTTTTGGTGTAACTTTAAAACAAATGACCGTAGATACATGAAATTTTCACTGGTTGTTTATATTTGCATTTTCTATACACGATAAAATTTTCAAAATATTTTGATTTATTTTGAACTGTTTAGGGACATTTTCATTTTCCATTTTTTTTTAGTTTTTTTTCTAAAAATATCAATAAAATTTTATTTGTTGGTTGCGAAAGCTTGAAAATTTAATAGAAGGCTCCTAATATATTGTTTCAAAGGCAGATGAAAAATATTAAAAATCCTTAGTCACAATTTTTTTTTATAAGCATTTAAAGTTCAAAAATTGACAAAATATGGAAAAATCACGAAAATTAGCAAATTATTTTGAGTTAAGAATTCCTAAAAATTTTTCTGTTTAAATCTAAGATTTGAAAATGTAACATAAGATTTCTTATAAGATTTCCTACATTTATCAAAAAAAAAAATCTATAAGAAAGTCATATTAAATTTTTATGAGCCTTTGAAATTCAAATTTTTACAACATTGGATATTCACTCGATTTCTCATGTAGCGATTTCCTTATTTTGTTGTAATTCAAAAACGAACAACTGTAGATACATGAAAATTTCACTGAATGTTTAAATTAGCATTTTCTATACACCATACAATTTTGAAAATATTCTGACTCTTTTTGAGCTGTTTATGGACATTTACAGCTTTCAATTTTTTTTAGTTATTTTTCTACAAATATCAATAAAGTTTTATCTGTTGGGCCAAAAAGTGTAAAAATTTAATACAAGGCTCCTGATATATTGTTACAATAGCAGTTGAAAAATATTAAAAATACATAGGCACAGTTTTTTTTTATAAGCATTTAAAGATCAAATTTTGACAAAATTTATCAAAATCTCAAAAATTATCAATCATTGTAATTAATAAATTATAAAATGTTCAGTTTTTATAGCTAAGGATTACAAATTCAACACAAAGGTTCTCATAAATAGTTCATACTATAACCAAAAAATCTAAAAAATATATGAACACAGTTATTTTTTACAGACATTTTAAATTCAAATTTGGACGAAATTACATATTAAAAAACCTAGAATAACTATTTTAGTTATTTTGTTGTGATTGAATAATATTATTCGTGGGTACTTGAAACTTCTAAAGTGTACTATTATATATCTATGATAGTATCACGGTTTTTGTTGATGTATAACGCGTTAGAAGTACCTAATGGATATTGTGATATGATTAATTTGGAATTCATTATAGGTCAATTTTTTTAATACCATAGATAAGTATATAATATGTCTTATACATACACTGACATACCGTCACCGCTCAGAATCGTTTTTCTTATACAATGGTATTATATCATTGAATTCAAATTTAATACCATCCATTATACAGTGACCCACTTGTAACCTACTGTACAGCAGAGCGACACCCACTTGCCCACCTTTTTTTTTTTGAATTTTGTAGGAATGATACTTAAATGTACTTAATTTACCAACTGTTCAGTATAAACATATTGTAAAGGAAATTGATAACTATTTAAAAATATAAACATTTTTCGCATTCATTTTCAACTGTAATATTTACAAACATGGTATTCTTTGAATAAATATAACGTACTATTATAAAAACCACGGTTTTGGTAATTTGGTGTATGATTAACTTTTAACGTTAAATTATTTTTTTTTCCAATAACTATACACGTTGTACATACTTAATAAGGTAGTAAAGAACCAAATTACCGATTCAAAATAAACCAGTTTATAATATTCTGATATATTCTACGGTAAATTGTCTTTTATAACACTGTGTAGCGTAGCCAAAAATTTTATATTTTATATTTTATATTTTATATTTTCACCTATGGTGAGGGGGCTATAAAGTTTTCTTAAAATCATTTTTTTATATGATTTAAGCTCCTATTATAGCCCCTTAGCCCCGCCCTGTGTATGCATCGGTTTTATGTATATTATGTATATACATAATTAGGTATTATTGTTTAGGAAGAAATAGATGATGAAGATTGCGTGGAAGACGACTACATTGTGGTAGATAGTGTTGATGGTGATGGGGAAATTACACAACGACCAAAGAGATTTTCATCGCCAAGACAAAAAAAAAAAAATTAAAACAGATGAGGATCCAAGGGTTGATGAGGTTTATTCTATACTGAAAACTTATGCTGAAAAAAATAAAATAAAGGACAATGCGACTACATATGGTGAACACGTCGCTAACAAACTTAGGTCTTATGCAGATTTTATTCGTCTAAATACAGAACACAAAATTAACTGTATTCTTCACGAATCGGATATGTTAATGCTACAACAAAATAAACAACCTGACTATCCTTTACATTTTTCCGGTCCGTCTTCAAGTAATAATTCTTTTATTCCTTTACATTCTATCAGTACATCCTCAGGAAATACACTCTCTCCTTTATTTACTGCAACATCTTTCACTCCAAATAATAATTTGAGTCCATTACCCAACTCCAGCATACCGTTTACACCAACAAATGAAAGCAATTCTCTAAATACACAAGAAAACACTCCACCATATTATAATATTAATTAATTTAAAAAGTTAATACTACGTCTGCTATCACTAGAGAGAGATAACAAAGTGCGTATCCTTATCTAAATAGTAAGTAATTACTCTTTTTTTCTAATATAATTTTATTTTGATTTATAATTAATATAATATGTTAATTTTTCTTAAAAAATCTTATTTATTATTATATTGGGGATATAATTTATAAATAATATACTTATGTCCAAAAGTGATTTTAATTATTTTTTTTTGTTTTTAATAAAGTTTCAGCCATTATTTAATAACTTGTTTTTTTACCTATTATAATAAAACTGTTTGTACCTATATCGTTTACATATTTTTTATCTACATTTTATTCACATTATAATATATTATTGATAGTACGATGTCAATAAAACTAATATTATAATTTACTATTTAGGTCTTTAATATTTACCTGAACATATAATTTTAAGGCTTCAACTATAGCTTCACATACTTCTGGAACTATATTAGATATTATTAGTTTGGAAATTTTAAAAAGATACATTAAACTTGTATACGAATCACCAGTAGCCAAAAAACGTAATGTTACGGCCACCCGCACGTTTGGTGAAATCGTTTCCCTTAGATGAGTTATATCCTTTCCAATTTGAGGACCAATAACTTCAAGCAATGATTCAAAATCTGTTGGTGACATCCGTATAAAGTTTTTGAATCCTGGATGTTCCAGTCTTAAATCATTTAATAAATCGTTTCCATTATAACGACGCATCTACTTTCAAAAATTGTACGTTGCCACCAACGTCTTTTATGTAAAGATTTATTTTTCTTTACTCGAGAAACTAACGATGTAAAAACAAAAGCTGCACTTGTAATTATTATATCTTCATCACTCATATTGAAAAAAAAAAATTAAAATTGATAAATATTTAAAAAAAATTGACAATTACACGTCCACACCGCAATAGATGTAAGTACCTACTAATATAAAAATAAATAATATGACGGGAAATGTTTAAGTTGCCAAGGCGGGAAATCTTTGTGTAAATTGAACGAACATTGTTGTCGAACATTTCAAAGCACAGTAGCACTGGTTCGTCGAGTATAAAGGAAACATTCTCAACGAAGATGTTCGACAACAATGTTCGCCCTAGTGTGGACTAGCAGTTGTCGTTAAGTTAATAAGTGTAAAACAAAATAAAATATGATTACCTAAATATATCCATGAGTTAGGGTGAGTTACATTTGTTCCGTAAGGCATTATGAAAACTTTCGAGACTATTGTTAGTTAGTCTTGGTAATCCATTTACTGAAGTTATGTTTGATCCGACTTGTCTGAGAAAAAAGCTAAAAAGAAGTATTTAATTGATAAGTAACAATAATAATAAATAGATAAATTACCAATGAGTCTTAAATACAGATAATAAAAAAATAGAAGTAATTTATTATTTTTTTAGTTTTCTATAACAATAATAGAAACTTCAAAATAAAATATTCTTAAGTGAAGAATTTAGTTTAGGATTTTTACACGTTACAACATATTATAATTATACATATTATTCTTACTTTTTATTGTAATCAAATAAATTTGCCATCAGTATTCCATGATTCACAGGAAATTAACACTCTTGCCATATAGAATACTCGTTGGATATCAACAGATGGTGACGATGGCAATATTTTGCGTTTTATGGCCATTATGATTAATAACAATAAATTTTCCATTCCCCAGCTTTTTTAATGACCCTGTACAAAAATATCCACCACGTCTGCACATCTGTAATATCTATAACAATAAAAATAAACAATAAGTAAGTACTAATTACTGATTAGTTATCTAAGTAATGATGGAGATTTACCTATGCATAAAAATATTAACTAGAGTACTAAATGTTGTCCTAGGTAGGTGGTACTCAGCTAGGTACTTACACATAATTTTAAACACTGAACACAATATTATTAAACTATATTAATTTCTGCTTCCCGAATACAAGCCCATTTCCAATTGAAAATAGGTATAGGTAGTACATTTAAAAATTAGTGTAAGCAACTTATTTCTAGAGTTAATAATTTTGATTACTCACGAACAGGATCTTAAGACTTAAATACAGATAGGTAGATATTCTAATATAACTTATTAAATTAAAATATAATTTATAACTATAAAATAGCAATAAGTAGTAAATAGGTACACGTCTATATAAGTGTATAAGGGACTATTATATGGTATACTATTCGCAAATTGCAAACGATTAATGATATCTATTATAATTTTCTAACTTAAAAATCAATGTAAAGGTCTTTAATATACTCACGTTATTACTTTTTTCGTACACACTCCGTCTTACAAATGTACTACAGTCTACATGTCAACTTATTAAACATAAATAAACGATCTTACGATTCATTATTTATAATAACATCAATTATAATCCATACTAGCGATCCCGTGCACTTCGTTGCCCCGTTAAATGTATCAATTCTATATGTCTCAAAGTTTGTTCAATTCGTTATTTAATATTCGGTGTATGCGGTGTTCAAAATTAATCTTAACTTTTCCGTTGCCCCGAATAAAAATTCTGATTCGCAGCAGTAATCTACCTGCGATAGATCGCGTACCCTGTGCTGTTTGTACGTAAGTGTATGATTTAACTCTAAAGTATCAAAGTTATACCAAGTTTATCGTTTTTACTTTATTTCGCCTAAGGTGGATTATTATAATCATTTTATACAAAATCCTATCCTAACCTAACCGTACTAAAACCTGATGAAAAAAAAAACAAATTTACCCCTTAGTAAATTAACCTATCTTCTTCCCAGACGTCTAATCTACCCACAAACATTAATTTATATGTATATATATATATATAACTATATAAATACACGGACTATAACTATACAGACTCTGGAACTACTTATCGGATCTTTTTGTATTTATTATATATATATGATATATGTATACCTATTGACAAAAAATAATGATACAAATCAAAAACATGCCCGATTAACCAATAGCAACCGATATAATATAATACACTGGTGGATTTTCCTAACATTTTTTTTTTCATATAAACCTTATCCATGAAATACTCTTTCATTTAAAAAAAAATAAAGAAGATCTGATAAGAAGCTCCAGAGATAAGTAGTACAGAGATTTTCATTTCACATTTTTATAGTTAGATATTATATTACAATTTATATTTAAAAAGTAAAGCAAATAGTTTTTTTTTTTTTATTATTTTTATTATTGCAATAGCTTAAAAACCCATGGCAACCATTTATAAACAAAAATTTCCATCGGAAATCTCAAAATTCCCGTTTGAGCACCTCCCGGGGTTGGTCCTCTCCCTTTTTAAATTAGCCTATCTTTTAAGTTGGACCAAATTACACGCGGTGTAAAAAATTTCATCAAAATCGGTTAAGTGGTTTAGGAGTCCATTGAGGACAAACATTGTGACACGAGATTTATATATTATATTAAGATTGTGTACCTGCTTAGTATATTTACCATTGGTATCCATTTATACCATTGGTATATCCGATATCGTATATGTACCTAATAGCTTTATGTTAAACTGAAATATACAGTAGAGTATCTATAAGAATAGATGCTCTTTTTCTAACTGTTATTTCAACAGCCTACATTATGTTGGCTTATGGAAAAGCTTCTTCCAAAATCCATGTAGGTATGTTAAAATACATAGGAATCATTTTGTATGCAAAAAATAAAAATTATAATATATTTAAAATTTTTAAACTAATATGGTGTTTAAAAAACGTAAAATTAATATTATAAAATCCTTCTCACATTATTATTATAATGTTAAAATGAGAACATAATTAATAATTATATTTAAATGAATTTCTTCACACGAATCAGACATTCAGATTCTATATTTAAAAATAACAAATATATATTGTATATTATGTAGCTCGTACCTACAGACTATGTTCTTCATAATGAAACTAAATAGTTAATAATTCATAGTACCATAGTGGCACAGTTGCATTACACTGTACGTCGATGTATAATATTTTATATTAATTAATATTTTGAAAGTAAATATTACTTACTTGCAAGTTCCAGTCTTTATTTTTTGCCCTAGACATGGTTTGTATTTTAATTTAATGATTTCATTTTTCAAACGAAAATTGAAGAATATAACATTACATTATTATATGAGATTTCTAAATTATAGTTAATTATAATTTTAATATTTAGTAATCAAATGGTACGTAATGATTAATAAGGCAGAAAAGGTGACAAAAGTAAAAACATGTCCTATTTACCTACTTATTATTTCTATTTTCTATTGCTGAAATTTGTTGGTGTAAATCCCTTTTCTTAACTACTCGAAAATTATAGTGGGTATAATAAGAGTTAAGTCCAATTAACAAGTTCTACACAACACAATGAAAAGTTGTCACGATTTATTGTAATATTTAAAGAACACATTCACATTCATATAAGAATTTGAAAAATAGTATTTATTTTTGAATGAAAACGGTACATACTCACTATTCACCAGTGTCGGCCTGGCACACCAAAGCCCAAAGGCCCATGGATCAGTTTTTTAAGGGGGCCCTAAAAAATGTATACCTATGCGATTTTTCGCAATATGGATTATATTTTAAAATTTACCTTTATTGTAATCATTAATATACTATTATATAATTAAGTAAATATAAGTTTCATGATCAATAATTATAAATTAATTGTGCATATTCACCACAATAAATAAATAACCAAATATACAACAGTATAACACCAAAGATATCGCGAAGACGCGAACTATACCTAATTAGTTTGCTGTGGCAACAACAACAATCGACATAACGCGACTACAACAGCATTGCAGACTGCTGTCGTATTGACAAAATATCTGAAATCATAGCTGAATATTATGCAGTCAAAAATATTTTTATAAATAACTATTGCTTATGGGCTGCGGCAAGACATTATTTATAATTTATAAATAATAACATTAAATTACAATACATGTATTATGTATATCTAATATTAACGCAAACCCTTTAAGTAG